ACCTGGGCAGTCAGGGCTGGCATTCTCTGATCACTAGCTGAGGGCTTTGGAGAGTCATTTTTCTTCCTTCTTTATAGCTGCAGCTAAACTCTCAGTTCCTGGGGACACTTCTCTTGGAGTGGATGTGGTATGCCCACCTCTCGGCCCTCCAGCCAAGCACTCGAGTCCTCTTCGAGTCCTGGGAAGGTTTTGCTGACAGACACTGCCAGGAACCAATGGGGGAATAACAAGCATGAGTGGGAAAGAGTCCAGAACCCTTCAGAAATTAGTTCAGTGCCCCAGGGATTCCCACTTACCCTTGCCTAGCTTCTTCTGAATGTGGGAACTAAAAGCCTCAGTGACGTTTATTTTACGTTTGTCCTAAAATTAGGGCTTCCTGCTTCTCCTTTGTGAGAGCTCCCCATCTCCCTGCAAGAAGGAACACGAGCGTTTTCTCGCAGAAGACTGAGTTCTTAGTGAGGGTCGGATGATAGGCGCTCACTTCCCTTTCCCAAACCTGCCCATCTTCAAGGTACATAGGGGCCCCAGAGACTCCTTCCTCTTCTTAGAAATAGCCCTCCTTGGTGCTCTGGCTGGGCGACTCGATTAGTTGGAGCATCGTCCGTACACCAAAAGGTAGCAGATTTCATCCTGGTCAGGGTGCGCATGGGAGGCATCCAATCTCTCTCTCTCTCTTCCTCCATCCCTCCTTCCCTTCCTATCTCTCTCTAAAATTAATAAACAGTAAACATATCCTTGGTAAGGATTGAAAAAGGAAGAAAGAAATAGCCCTGTTTGGGTGTTGCCTTGAACCCCTCTACAGTTCCCCCCCAGGGGCCCCTTGACTGTTCTTCACCCACCATTGCTACTGAGCATGGGTTACTTGATTTTCATTGCCATGGCCTTTCTGTTCTACCCTTCAAGACATGGTCTTTTTTAAAGTCTGGCCTTTTTTCCCCTTTAATTTAACTTGTATGTAAATTATACAGTGTACTGTCAGTGTTTACCAGGTCAGACTTAATTTTGTGAGGGATTAGTTTGCATTAATGGAAAGTGTGAGTTATACATTATATTGAAGAAATGTGTATTTTCTAGTGTATGTAACTCAAAGTAGGTTACCACTGTTGCCTGACAGAGGCTTAATGAGAAGATAGTTAATTTTAATTATAGTGTCAAGTGTTTGTAAGTGCTTGAAGATGTTTGAAGAATTTGTTTTCTGCGAGCCTTGAACACTTTACGCTGTTCATCAGCAGTGTCGGTGGGTGAAGGGCTGGCTCTCGAAGGCACTGCCTTCCAGCCTCCCTTCCCAGCGTCCGTGATTCCAGAGTGATGCGACTGGACTTCCCCTGCAGTCAAGAAATAGAGCGTTTAACACTGCGATTCTTCTTGTCGGTGATGTCAGGAGAGGAAGAGGAGTGGGAAAATAAAGCCTTTATGGTAGAACTAGTGACTCAGTTCCCGTCCTGTACTCTGTGTGAACTTCTTTCGGGTTCAGAGTGTGCTATTGTCAGACTTGGACTACAAGAGGAAATGTTCTTCGTGTAAACAAATTAGAACAAACATGTCAGTAAGACATTTTACTAATATCCTTTTGGATACTCGGAGAAGATCATTATAAATTTTTCATTTCTAACATGTAGTGGGGGAAGTGGCTTTCTTCTAAAATGTCAAGGTGTTGAATATTCTGTGAGGGTATCCACATGGATGTGTTAATGACGTCACGGTGAGGATGCTTAGCAAGCCTTCGGAGTGATGTTTCCAGTACAGATTAGCTCACTTAGCAAGAAAACCTGGAGTTTGATGCTAGGACCCAGGACTGGTTAGCGTACCTGGGCTCCATGTGCGCCCACCGGAGAGACGTTTCTCACGTGACCTCAGCAAGCAGGAGGGAAGAGGGCTCAGTGGCGTCAGATACATAATGAGTAGGAAAGTGATCAAGCTCAAGTCCTTCCGGAAGGAGATACAAAGTACGGTCCTCCGGGACCCTGCCTCTTCTCTCCGCAGTATCACCTAGCGTAGGACAGGGCGTCTCCCCTCCCCTGCAGGCAAGCCCGCGGCTCATCTGCCGTGTGCCTGTTCCCAGAGTCCAGATGTCACCCCTCGCCTGTCAGACCTCTGCTTCTTCTCCATAGGCCCCTGCTCTCATATTTCTGATTCTTACCTTCGGTTTCTCTGTCTGCTCTTCGTGATTGTAAATGCCTGGGCATGGTTTTGATAAAAGCAATGAGCTATTTTTATCCTCATAAATTATTTCACCTAAGTCACTGTTTACATTTTGGAGCATGGATAAAGAAAAGTTTATTTTATATGTGTATCAAACCTGAGCTGGTGTGGCTCCAGAGACCAACACCAGGGCCATGGATGATGGAAGTTGGGTAGGAAGTTACATGGATGATGAGTTCAAGGTCAGCCTCAGGGAGAATTTTCTGACAGAGCAGTCTAAAGCCCAATGCTTCCACACAGGTCTGGATAACCATGTTGGGGACACTGCAGAGTGGACTCCCACATGATCGGTGGCTGAGCTATATAGATCTCTCAAAGTCTGGCATGTTTCATGTACCTGAGTTGGGCCCTAGCTAGTTAGTTATTACCCAGGGACCTTGGAAAACATGTGTGTTCTTCATAAGCCTTGCTTTTTTAATAAGGTAGGGTTGGTGTAGAGAATGTGTGAATGTATAAAAGAAGTCGTTAGCACTACATCTGACTCGTAGTAAAAGTACTTAGTCATTCAAGTCAGGGAGGCAAGCTCTGGGGACTGAGAGCAGGTTTCAGTCCTCGCCCTGCCATTTACAAGTTGCATGCCTGAGACAGTTTACTGAACTCTGTGGTTAGTTTTCTTATTTGTAAAATAGTACTAAAAGTAAAACCTGTCTGAGTTTTTAACAAATAAGATACTGTGTATGCCACTAACATGAAATTTTCCTCCCGAGTTTGTGGTAGGATTGTACTGTCCTATCCTGTACTTCCCTTGAAGCTCGGTGGGGCCGGTGTATTGAGTGGAGAAGCCACAGGCGTCTCTTCTGGCAGAAGCTTCTAGGAGCCAGTGGACAATTCACCAGGCTCCCTCCTGCTCTGCCGTGACCACCAGCAACATTCTCCATGGCGGAGGCTCCATCACAGCCTGGGTCTCTCAGCTCACAGCAGCTTTGTTAGCCTGATAAAAAATAAACTTCTTAAGCCATCGATATTTTGACATTTTTTGTAACTGCAGCAAAGCCTGGCACATTCTGAGTGGCATACCACATGAGCAGCCTTCACTCTGGATGTGAAGTTAGATTTCAGCTACAGTGAATACAGAATGCCAGCTGCGTGGACTCAGACACCTGGGCCACAAAGACCTGGGAAAGGCTGAATACTGACCACGCGGCTCCACGCGGGCCTGTCTGTAGAACCGCCCTCAGGTGTGCTATGAAATGTCCGTTGCCTGGTGTGGACATGCCGGACCCTTTCCTCGTGTGACTGAGCTCAAGCAGCCTTTCTTTAAGCAAAGGCTCATTGTACCTGGCCTGGGGACTAAGCAGGCAGGTGTTATCTGTCCCCTCATTCTGCTCTCTCTCTCTCTTACATTCTGACCCTCAGTGCCTCCCAGAGCCTCAGGAGACTCCTGCCTCAGTCCACATCGCCCAGGAGTCCACAAGAGCCCCCCGCCCTGCCAGTTTGGGTGGTGCGCCTCTGCATGCGCTCTCCTTCCCTGTTTGTTCCTCTCCCTCTGGAGCTCTAGGGGATGAATGTGACATGTCACAGGGGACAGCTCTCTTTGGGCGCCTGAACACTGTTTGGGCAGCCCCAGTAATGGTTGAGATGAGTGAGTGGAGCTCACTTAATGTTGCGCTGGAGGCTTGGATTGTTGCAGAGATGACTCAGTGTCAGTTTTTGACGTCTGTCCAGGGCTGTGGCTTTTCCTTAGCCTTTGTTCCAGAACATTGAGGTGACAGTGGAAATGTTTCTGCTGCCTGAAGGAAAACATTATTAGAAATGGCTTTCACAGGGCTGCTGGTGTTCCGCCTTTCATGTAAGGTAATAATAGCCAAGTAATTCTGAGGACTGAAAGAGGCTAGCAGTCATTTTAGAAAATAGCATCTTTTCTGCTAGAACAGTAATTCATGTTTATTTTTTTTTTAAATTGGAACATATGAAAGCATAATAAAAAGAATGACTCTTCATAACCCCATGGTACAAAAATAACCATTGTTCCTTTTGGTTTTTACATGTAAGTACATTTTTAAATGAAATCGGAATGATAACAGTAGCAAATATTATTGAAACCATTCTCTGTGCCAGGAAGTCTTTAAGCATGTTATGTGCGTTATCTTATTTTTCCTCACAACAACCCTTTGAAGACTCATCCCCATTTTACAGAAGAACAAACTGAAGCACAGAGAGGCTAAGTCATTTCTCCAAGGGCACACAGCTCATAAGAGTGGTGCCAAGATGGAAAGCAAAGCAGTCTGCCTCCAGAGTCCTGGGCCTTGACTACTCCATGATACTGTCTCACAGTAAAGGCACATTTCATGGAATGGGATTACTTTCCATGGAATTTTGTAGTGTGAGCTCTGAGTAGTCTGGCTCTATCTCCTTAGTCTGTAGATTGGGATCTAAAACCACAGATGGGATTTGATTTACCTAGAACAGCATAGCTGGTAAATGTCAGTGCCAAAATTGGAACACGTCCCCTGACCCACACAGTCCACATGCACACTGGCTCCAGCGAGGTGTGCACCTTTGTCCCCTCCCCATGCCACAGCCCTGAAACAGCTCACTGTTGTTCTCAGTGCTGAGTCCGGATGGGAGGTCAGACACACGGAGGACTCGCATGGCTTTCTTCCCAGCATGTACATGAAATTGGAGTTTGTGTTCAGGGAGTATATAGGCATCTAGTGTTTGCTGACTCTTTATTACCCCGCAGAGGTGGGGCTGTGAAAGGCTGCAAGGAGTGGCCCAGCAGTAGGTCCAGCTTTTCACCCTTATCAAACACTTCTAACAGATTTGCTGACGAGCAGTAAGAGTGATTGATTGGAGCTTTAAATGCCATAGCTTCCCTCAACCTGGATTCTCCAAGCATTGTTATAACTCTGAGTGAGCCAAAAGTCAGCCAGCTCTGTGTGCGTAAACATTCCTCTCTATTAGAGGCTGTCCTGGCCCAACAGCGTATAAGAGAACGAGGCCATTGTGCTGAGGTGCCAGAGTGGCCGGGTGGCCAGCTGCCGTGTGGTTGAGGAAGGAGGAACAGGCGGTGATTTACTGCTGCAGTCGGTAAGATAGAACTCCCTCTGTATCTTCAAGTGTGGTGGTGGACTTCTCAATTGAGAATGCCAAGCAGGTTGGTTGGGTTTTTTTTTAATAGGTTAATCTATTCTAGTGAGCCCAAGGAGGGCAAGAGCAAGTTCTTATAAATCTCACAAACAATGTAGAGTGAAAAAAAGACAAGAATGCTGAAGACGGTCCGGTTACCCTGGAGGTGGGGGTGATGTGGTTGTGTGACTGACCGGAGCATGAGGAAGTTTCTGTTCTGGTTTTCTTTTTTAACTGGGTCCTAGTTACATAATGTGTTCGGTTTACAGAAATTCATAGTTTTATACATAATAAATGTTCTCTTTTCTGAGTATAAATTATACTTAAAAGCCCTTATTTGGGTTTGTGTATGTTGTTACACATTGATCTCCATTTCCTTGAATCAGTGTGAAGTGATGTATAATTTATTACCTGGATATTAGGAAACATCTTTACCTGGAGTGGTCAGGTCTGTATGAGCAGAACTTCGGAAATCATTTTTTTTATTCTATTAAAATGTATCTAAAATGACTTCAGGGTAGACTCCTGAACAGTGGAGAATGATGTCATTTTAGTTCAGCAGACATTTTATTGACAGCCTCCTGTGAATCAGGGTCAGTGCTAGTGCAGGCTGGATACAGGCGTGAGCCATCTCTCCCCTGAGGAGCCTGCGCCCTGTGGGGGTTCGAGCCCCTGCATGGGTGGTAAAGGAGTGGAGTGGTGCCTCAGAAGCACCATGGAGGACCGCAGAAAGGAAAGGCAGCTTTCCAATGGGACTAGGAAAATCTTCATAGAAGAAATGGCATTTGAAATGAATTTTACAGCGTATGTAGGATTTTAATTAGCAGAGGTGGATGGGTGGTAGGCATTGTCAGTATTAGACACAGGAGGAAGGCCATAGGAAATTCATATATATATTCTGGGAACTTCGTGTTGCATGGTTGCCTCAAGATGACCGGCATCCATCAGATACAAGGTGAAGCCTGAAAGGTAAGCTGTGGCCTTACAGTGGCCAAGTTTTATTATTTGAGAGGCATTAGGGAGCCAAAGTTTCTGAAAAGTACAGAAGCTTGGTTAGATTAGACATCTTTAATAAGATCAATTTCCTAGCCTCATGATTGTACCAGGAGCGTATCTGCCCAAACTAAACATTTGCTAGGTTTAGGCATTCTTTATTACTGTAATTTGAGCCTATTCCTGTTTGGATCTGCTGGTGAACCATAGATACATTGCTTCCTTGTGTTTCCTGTACTCATCTCTCTAGGACTTGATGATTATTATGCATCTTCTTTAGTCCCTACACCCATCCCTCCGTCTTGGCCAGGTGAAGTCGCAGTTCCTTTATCCTCTTTTCAAACATCCTCTTTTGCAGTCTGATAGTGATTTGGCATTTAGTGCCATCCAGCCTGATGCTCTTGTGCCAGATAAAACCACCAGTGTCGCTGATGTGTGGCAAAATTGTGTGTGGGAAGAGAGAGACCAAAAAATATTGGCAGCCTTCTCTAAGTCATGAAGGAGGCCTGACCCACAGCCCGGGGTTGTGTCCCACGGTGCCTGCCACTGGGCTCCCTGCTCTGGAGAACGGCACTGGCTTGGATTTTTCACATGGCAGGCTGGTTCATGTTCACTGCTGGCAGCAGTCCTCATTTGAATCTTGGCCACTTAGGCAATATGAGGTTTTTTGAGTTAATATCTTACAAATTTTTTTATTATGTCAGCATACTATCCTCTTAAAAAAAGATAACTTGGGCTGCGTGTTGTCTTATCTCCCACTTTTTATCAAGGCATTATTCTAATCAAAGTGTTGTTACCTTGACAAATAAGGTGCTTCAGTTTAGATCTTATGAACCTTTGTGTAGAGAATGTATTCAGACACAGCAAAGAGCTCTTTTTAGTCCTCTGGGAACACAGGTCATAGTGTGTCCTGACTGGAAAGAGGACCTGAGTTAGGTGATTCGATCCAAATCTGACTCCTTCAAGTCTCAGGTTCTACTCCCTATGTGGCTCTGACACATCCTTTGCCGGCCTTGGTCGTGGGGATCGAACAAAACCCCATGAACATCCGCAGTGCCTGGTGCACAGACTGCATTTGTCTTCCCTTCTAGAGCACGACCAGCACCCCTGTTTGCACCCCGCCCATCCCTGCTGCCCCTGCCAAGATGCTCAGCTTTGCACATTAGTTCTTTTTCCCAGGTGGCCCTTGAATGAGAAAACTATTTCACATGGTCTTAGCATTAGTACTGTTTTATGAAATCACTTTGGTTGTGGTTTGTGGTTATTTCCATATCTAAATACTATTGTTGTATTACTCAATTATTAAAATTAATCTTGTACCATATTATTTCATCACATCTGCTTAATGATTTCATTAAGAAAATAATTTCTTGTATAGATGAATGTATTTCTTAGAACTTAACTTTCTTTTATCTTTCTTTCTTCCTTTTTTTTTTCATTCTCCTATTTAATGATTGAGTTCTGAATTGGATACACTTCCCACAATGGTGAGGTTCACTGTGAGTGGGTTGAGGCATCCCAGTTACCCGGGCACTTTGGGAAACCAGGACTGACTGGTAACCTCATTCCATTATGCATTTCTACTCTGGCAACCAAAAGTTGCCATCTTATCAGACAGAAAACTGGATACCCTGGGAGATCTGAATCTCTCAGTTAGTGCGTGGAAGGAGAAGGCTAACACGAGAAGGGGTTGGGTTATCCTATGTTCAACCTGAGAGGATAGTAGGGAGGTTTTTAAAAATCTGGGACTTAATGTGTGTCTGTTGTGTGTGCACAAATTTTATCACAGTAACTGTCTCTTAGACTTCAGACCTTAAAGTGCTTCTGCCCTGTCTTTTTCAGGTAGAACGACATGACATGACTACCCTAAGCCTGCCCCTGAACATACGCCGAGGCGGGTCGGACACCAACCTCAACTTTGACGTACCAGATGGCATCCTGGACTTCCACAAGGTCAAACTAAGTGCAGACAGCCTGAAACAAAAAATTCTTAAGGTAACAGAGCAGATCAAAATCGAGCAGACATCGCGTGACGGGAACGTTGCCGAGTATCTGAAACTAGTCAGCAGCGCCGACAAACAGCAGGCTGGCCGTATCAAACAAGTCTTTGAGAAGAAGAATCAGAAATCAGCTCACTCCATTGCCCAGCTGCAGAAGAAGTTAGAACAGTACCACAGAAAGCTCAGGGAGATCGAACAGAATGGAGCCTCCAGAAGCTCAAAGGACGTTTCCAAAGACAACCTGAAGGACATCCAGCACTCCCTGAAAGATGCCCACGCCAAGTCTCGAACTGCCCCGCACAGCATGGAGAGCAGTAAATCGGGCATGCCCGGGGTCTCCCTCACTCCACCTGTATTTGTCTTCAGTAAGTCTAGAGAGTTTGCCAATTTGATCCGGAATAAGTTTGGCAGTGCAGACAACATCGCTCACTTAAAAAATTCCTTAGATGAGTTTAGGCCTGAGGCAAGCGCCAGGGGCTACGGTGGCAGCGCAACCATCGTGGACAAGCCCAAGTACGGCAGCGACGACGAGTGTTCGAGCGGCACGTCGGGCTCCGCGGACAGTAACGGGAACCAGTCGTTCGGGGCCGGCGGAGCAGGCACACTGGACAGCCAGGGGAAGCTCACCGTGATCCTGGAGGAATTGAGGGAGATCAAGGACACCCAGGCACAGCTGGCCGAGGACATCGAGGCGCTGAAGGTGCAGTTTAAGAGAGAATATGGTTTTATTTCTCAGACCCTGCAAGAGGAGAGATACAGGTATTTCAGACTGTTCTTTTAGAATGTATTTGGAGGCATGAGTTACTAACTGCAGAGAGATTGCTCAACAGTGATGTGCTGATGGTTGCATTTTTCATAAAGAAGAATGCGGGTCAAAAGGCATTTAGGGATCAGTAATTTTTTCCATACTTCATACTTGACAGTTTAGAGAAAGACATTATATGTGTGGGTCTGTGAAAATATCACTGTGTTAGTCTTTGACTCATGTGCATATTAAGCTCCTGATTCAGGGACTTCTGTTGGGAAGTTTTATTACACTCGTTCACAGATCTGTATTTGATTTTTGTCCTAATAACTATCAAATGGAAAACTAATTCATTGTCCAACAAGGTAGATTTATTTAGTACATCAGTATTAAAGTCGTTATGTAGCATTTTTTTTTACCTACTGTATCTTGCTCATTAAACTTTTCCCCCTAAACAAAGTGTTCAAAATAGATTTTAAGATTAAAATATAAATTTCAAATCTGTGGATTATACATGGTAGGGAAAACAGTATATTTACAGTTGTGAGTACATGAAATACAGAGTTTATTCTTGTATTATTATTTATTAATTTTTGTATTCTTTTCCATATAACCAACTGTAAACCTACTTTTGCCCCACCCTGTGTTGTCTAATTTTAGACATGTTTTATAGGCTGGCTTTTATGTGTTAATAAAAACTGTATATGACCAAATATAAGGTGATTTTCCACCATTTTCCCAATAAAAATTCTCCAGAGGTTTTTTGGTCAAAATGAATATGTTAACTTATAAAAATGTAGATTAAAAAGTGAATATATATATATTACATATTATAAGATTTCAAATTTAAGTTTAGCTTACATGTTTTATATCTGATACATGGTTTTATATATATATTTAGGAACATGGCTTATCTTCAGCTCATATTTTATGAAATAATTTTTAAACCTTCCTCATAATCTTTGACTTTGGTTTCTTTGTCACACAAGAAATATTTTTGAGTCACAAACTTTCCAGAGAATATTAACCTTAATTCTGTTAGAATAGTTTGGGATATAGCACTCTTTGGATCCAAATTTTATCCCAAGTCACAAATACACATTTACATAAATTTAGGAAAGTGTTTGTTCTCCTTTGCTTATATTAGCTATACTTGTGATCTCCATGATTTCGCCGCTGACTGCATTGCTTACTCTAAGCATTCTTCAAAAGGCTTGTTTATAACACCAACATGGGGCACCTATGAAGTCCTACCTGAGAATAAGCTTAAATGTGTAATTTTGTCTCATTTTTAAAAAATTATTCTAGCATATGTTCTATATAAACATATTAAAACTGGCATTGATCGGCGTCATTTCAAGCTGACACAAATAGTGCTTCCCCAAACAGTGCTTTCTGTTTCAAAATAAATATTATAAGCTTATGTAAATATAAGACAAATTCCTCTTGTCTGAAGCGGTGAGGGCTGAGAATAGGGGTCTTTGTGCCTCTGTTACCTTAGACTTTTGGGAATGCCACCTGATAAGCCATCTATAATTTATAATGAGTTTAACTTCCAGGAGCTGAAACACGTATTCAGAATTAATGTGTGCACTGGGAAATAGTGGGATTGGCTCCAGCGCAGTGATTGGTTCTTTCCTTGTGGGCACTCTGGTGCCTGAGAGCCGTGCTGCAAACCGCTGGGCACCATGGGGTGGAGAGGGGAGGGGCACTGGGATGCATGCGGGCCCTTGCTCTCAGCCGGAGCCCAGACCACACTGCCTGCTGACCAGCCGTGGCGTATGTGTCATTGCTGAGGTCTGTGTTGTCGTCATCGCTGCCCGCCGAGGTGCTGGTCTGACCTGGGTGGAAAAGCCAAATTGGCTTTGCATGAAACCTCAGCGCGGAGGACGGAGTCAGGACTGCAGAGACCGGTCTTTTCTAGACTGGAAGTCAGTGTTCCCCAGCTAGATGTTTCTTTTGGAAACACAGTCACCAGGAGATGAAAACAAGCCGAGGGGCACTGACGACAGTGAGATATGAAGGACGTCGTTCTAGAATGTGCTGTCAGAACACCTTTGCAATGTCGTGCTCAGAATTGCTCCTCTCTTTCCAAAGGTACGAGCGACTGGAAGACCAGCTCCATGACCTGACGGACCTGCATCAGCACGAGATGGCCGACCTGAAGCAGGAGCTGGCCAGCATCGAGGAGAAGGTGGCCTACCAGGCCTACGAGCGCTCGCGGGACGTCCAGGTGCCTGTCCTCTGCCAGTAGGCGCTCCGCAGGCACTGCCCAGCGCCGACACATCTGACAAACGAAGTGCCCATTACCCCTGAGCCCTGAAGGCTTTCTGGCTCATGGAGCAAGCATTTCTGCACCTTATTTACCCCATTAGCTCATGCTACAGACGTTACTGAGTAACAAAGCTGTATTCTGTTTACTTTCTGCCTAAAGTAGTTAATATTTATTATCCACCCCCAAGCTCCTCATCTATACCCTATTCTCTTCACACAACCAGAAATTTTTTAAATTTTAATACATAAAAAATATTGCTTCTGTAATTGGAAGTTTATATCTTTTGACTGCCTTTACCCATTTGCCCCTGCTCCCCACCTCTGGCAACTACCAATGTGTCCCGTTTGTATGAGTTCAGATTTTTTAGATTCAACATGTGAGATCATATAGTATTTATCTTGCTCTGACTTATTTCACTTAGCATAATACCCTCTAGAACAATGCATGTTGTTGCAAATGATGGTATTTCCTTCTTACTAATGGCCACATAGTATTCTATTATAGACAGAATACCACATTTCTTTATTTATTCATTCATCAGTAGGCACTCGGTTTGTCTCCGTATCTTGGCTGTTGTAAACCATGCCTCAGTGACCATGGGGGCACAGATACCTCTCTAGATACTGATTTTGTTTCCTTTGGGTATATACCTAAAAATGGGACTGCTGGACCATGGGATAGCACTAGTCTTATGTAGGGGACAGTTTGGGTTAATACTGTTCTTCCTTTTTTAAAGAAACATACTTTAGGGACAAATGGGTAAGATTGAGGGAGGGACTTCGGAAGTCATTTCAGCGTGTTTCAGTTCCATCTCTTGTTCATTGGTGCAAAAGGTCGTCTCTGTGAGTGACTGGAGGGTCTTTCTTGTTATGATCGATAGAACCCCGGCTCTCCTACTTTCTGTGTGACCCAGGGCGAGTCAGCTCTCTGTGCTTCAGTTTCCTCATCTATAAAATGGAAATATTAATGAGAAATATTTCCTGAGGTGGTCCAGAGGATAATGGGATGATAACTTAAAGTACTTAAATCTTTGCCTGACACATAAACAGTTAAGAAATAAATGCTGACCATTGTTTTTGTTATGTTGGTGAGTTACATATGTCCCAGGGCTCCTAGCTCGCCTTTGTTCTTTTTTCTGGTTCCTTCTGTTCTCAGAGCCACGTGATCCAAGGGGATGGGCTAGTATAGGCAGGGCAGCTACAGCCCATGGGTATGCAAGGGTTTGTGGTTATTTTAAGCAAATGAGTATTGGGTTTGTTTGTTTTTTAATCCTGAATTCCCAATTAAAATAGTGTAAAAGGTAATCCTGTCCTTTGTCTTTATCCCCAATAAGTTAAATACTGGACCTGTGGAAGCACTAAAGGTTTTGGGGCTGAGTGTCTCCTAGTGGGCACTGTGACTAAAGTTCCTTGCAACACATTGCTCATTTTTTTGGATGTTTCTTTTGGTAACAAAAATTTGGTACAGTTCTAAGGCAATTCTGTTTATATATGTAATTCATCTAGCCAATCAAATATGAGTGAATTTGCCTAAAATGTTGACCTTTTGTCTTGTTCTATCACTTTCTCCATGCCTTGTCCAAAATGAAGGCCACCCTGGGCCCAGGTGTTTGAAACGAATACATGATTTCTGGGGCACTTGCCTGTCGTCTCGGGAAGCCAGCATTTTTTAGAATGTGAGGATCTAAAGAACTTTCTGTCGGTAGCCTATGTAACGAAAGTTATATAGTAACAGCAAACCCTGTTCTTTGGCCCATAGAGTATATTCAGCAGAAGAAAGCAGATCATGTTAGAGCCGTTCTGCTGTTTCAGCCCTGAAAAGATGACTGTGTTTCAGTTGAGCAAACACGTGTTGGTGAATGAGTTAGGTAGCAGGCTAGCGAACTGAAGGGGGCTCATTGTACTGCCTCTGCTTAGGTGCCTTCCTCTCAAGAGACTACAGATTTTTTCTCTTTCAAGCTTCATATCCCAAAACCCCACCTCCTGAGTGTTCAGCTAGCACGCAGCACCTGCTGCGTGCTCCTCACTACCTCCTGGCCTGGCACCATGAGCCTGTCCTCTGCCTCATGCGGCCATGGCCTCTCGGCTGGGGAAGAGGGCGGAAGGGAGGCTTGGCATAGTCTGATGGGTCCAGAAGGCTCCTCGCGGGACGTGACAGTAGGTGGGAGACCTGAAAGACGAATGAGGGAGCCACCGGTGAGGAGGGGCAGGAGTGGGGAGGCAGACATCTCAGACACAGGGCACTGCATGTGCACAGGCCCTGGGCTGGCTTCTTGTCAGAACCTGACAAAGCCAGTATGGCCAGAGCACAGTGAGGGGAAGGGGGCTGGCATGAGGTGAGTCAAGACAGAGTGGCTGGGCCTAAGCCATGGTAAAGATTTTAAAGGTTTTACAAAAAGGAATGACATTATATATGCTTCTCTAAAGGTCATTTGGGCCGCTGTGTGGAAAGTGGATTCATGGGGTTGAGAATCAAGAGGGTGTATGGAAAAATCTGTGTAGCTCACAGGCAAGAGATCCTGGTGGCTTAGATTGGGGTTGTGACTGTGGGAGGGGAGAGAAGCGAACCCGCTGAGGTAGATATTGGATGTTGCAGCAGCAGGGCTGGGTGATGCTGTTGATGAGTGCTCTCAGGCTCCTGGGATAAGGAACTGGGTGGATCGGGGGCTGGTTTTGAGGAAAGGAACACAGGAAAGGAAACAAAGTTTGTGGCAGGTGCAGAAGAAGGTGTAATACACAAATCTACATTTGGACATGTTGCATTGAGGTGCTTTTAAGAAGCTCAGATGAAGATGTTAAGGGGTCTTATAGATACGTGAGTCGATCTCAGAAGAGACAGCTGGACTAGAAGTATACTTAGAGTCATCTGTGTCTTAGTCACTGAAGGCTTGGAAAGATCGAGATCTAGCGAGGATGCGTAGCCTCAGATAGTGTCTGGAGCGACACAGCATTCCGAGAGCAGGCGGAAGCAGAGCTGTCCCACAGTCCGTCCTGCTCCCTCCGTGCCCCGCCGGTCTGTGATGGCACACACAGACTCCGAGCGGTGAAACAAGGACTAGCACTTGGAGAGAGCAGCTACTCCATGGCTGGAGGTAGACAACTGTCCCAAAATAGAGCCCTACCTTTCCTCTGGTTTGTCCCTCATGGTACCAACAGATGCCAATGTTTTAGGCATTTTATTTCATGTATGGGTGGAGTCAAAATATGTAATTTCTCATTTATGATTTTTATGGTTGTATATACGTGCTCATTCTACCCATAAATAACAAGATAAAATGAGCCTTGGGATTCTTGTTTTATTTCTTTGCTGTCGTCGTCGTCACCCTTGTCAGCCAGGTTATGTGAAGCTGCCTCAACACCAAGCATTCTCAGCTGGGGGTTTGCGTGCACTTAAGGGCAGGTGCTCACATGTTGCCCGTGACCTCACAGCATTTGATCCTTGCTCTTGCTTTTGCCCACAGGAAGCCTTGGAGTCCTGCCAGACTCGCATTTCTAAGCTGGAGCTGCACCAGCAGGAGCAGCAAGCTCTGCAGACAGACACAGTGAACGCCAAAGTTCTGCTGGGGAAGTGCATCAACGTGGTCCTGGCCTTCATGACTGTCATCTTGGTGTGCGTGTCCACCATCGCGAAGTTTGTCTCGCCCATGATGAAGAGCCGCTTTCACATTCTCGGCACCTTCTTTGCTGTGACTCTTCTGGCAATATTTTGTAAAAACTGGGACCATATTCTGTGTGCCATAGAAAGGATAATAATACCCAGATGAAACCACTGGTTCCCATCTTCAAGTTTCTTCAAGTTTTTATTTTAAAGGGAACTCTGTGCATACTACCAAATTTCCAAATGAACAGTTGTGCCAACTGAAGATTACCGGAAGGGCTGGGGCTGTGTGTTGTAAATAACTACAATTCTCTTAACTCGGTAGCAGTCACCAGCCAGTCCTCAGTCCCTGTGCCTGGTTAACATGTGTCTGTTTCAGAAGCTCGCCCCACACTGCTCACTGCCTTAATCGGACCAGATTTCCTGCCTGCCTGACTCACCCAGCATGGTAGACCTCTGGTTGTTGAGCACTTGGCGTAATTAGTGGCTCAGAAGAAAAGGGAATTTCAGTCTCTATCTCAAGTCTCTATCAAAATTGAGCTCACCATTGTTAGTGGCCATGTTTTCCCCGAGTCCTCTAAGTAGCAAGGGTGCAGCACGAATCAGGGAAGGGAAAAGCCCAGGCACTGACTGTGTCAACCTCTCACGGCTGATGGAAGTGCAGGACATCCTTGTGTGATCCATCCCAATGGTCCGCAGTTGGCCACAGTTCCCGTATGTGCCCAGTGTCCACAGTGGTCATTTACGTGTGACTCTCTGTGACATGGAAATCTTATTTTACACCATGTATTCACCCAAAGTCTCACTTAGTTGCTCTGTTGCACTTTAAATGGTAAGACACGAGGGTGTGTGAATGAGGCTTCTGCCTTCTCATGCCCTCGGAGCCACACACCTGATTGCATCCTAACTGGCTGCCAAATGCCCAGCCTCCAAAGCACGGAGAAATGTTTCCCATCCCTCATCAGACTGCAGCTTTAACATGGGAGTCCTGTGAGCACTACTCTGGAGGTTTGTAATTCGACACACCTTGATTTTGATAACCCCCCATGAGGGTGTGATTCACTTTATTTGCAGGTCTGCGAGGGGTTGCAAAGCTCCCTCAGTAAATGAAAACACATGATGCTTGTGTTGCGGGGTTTTTTTTTCGTTAAGAAGGAAAACTGAATCATAGTTTCTAAAGCTGAAGTGCACTAAGGTAGGAACACTGGAAGCAGGAGGAAGTATGACACGTGTCTAACTGGATGGCAGCTAGATGGGTGGGAGCCATTTGCCTGGATGAGGATTGAGAGGGTCCGCTCAGGACCCTGAGAGACCAGCCAGAATAAGATAAATTAGACGCTGTGTCTGAGCCAGTGTTGCCATCTGTCTTCTAGGATCTCACTGAAAATAAGTCCTACGATAACAGTGGCAACAATTCCACATTCCCACGAGGGCAGCGTCTTTGGCCTATTTGGGAGATGAGTGACACTGTCCGTTAAATCTGTCCCTCTGTCCACTAAATCTGTCCCTCTGTCCACATGAAAGGAAACTGCTCCCTAGGCCCTCACCTCCCACTTCCATTATCTGGGGCATAAAGGTGCATGTTGGTGAACATTTTCTTCCAGAAAACATCAAGTGACCTGGATTTGAATTAAGTGCAATATTTTGCAAACAGCTGCTTGTAGGGAAATCTCCTGAAAAAATGTGATGGTGCACCACGGTTTGAAAGAGCGGAGTTGTCGGGCACTTGGTGCAACTCTGGGTGTGAGTCTCACAACATGAGCTTTTTGGTTTTTTAGGGTTATAATCAGTTCACAAACTTATACAGCTCTCACCATCACCTAATTCCAGACACGAGCTTTTTAAGACATAAACACAATTTCATGAAATCATCGGCTGTGGGAATCCAGTGATTTAGGGAAGAGGACTCAGGAAAGAGGGAGTTACTAGTCCCATCTGCATCTCATGGCTGTCTCCTATCACTGGCAGGCTCTCCCTGGGTCTGCCAAGCTTGCTGTAAATACACTGTGTTCCATCAAATCCAGGGGACAGAGACAGGTTCCAGGTCCAGGGAAGTCAGGGAGAGAGAACAGTGCACTTCCTTATGCGTTTATATTTCTGTGGCCAGCCACCCCCCTTTACCTGTGGGCATCAGCCTCCATGAGGGCTCAGGGCTGGGTGTAACTTACATACTTGCATCAGGCTGGGTCCCAGGTAGGCCCCTCTTGATGTCTGTGAACCCTTCTGCAGCACTGTGACATGCCAGGGTCTGGGGTGGGTATAGGTGCTGCTGGTAGTTTAGCAAGAATGGGTGAGAGCTCCAGCCCTGAACTAAGGGTTCTGGGGCATCTAGGAAGACATTGTCCTGCCGTCACCACATGCCACTCCGTGGCTCAGCCTAGCACGTTTGCTGTGACACTTCCCAGACCTGCGGTCAGTGTGTGCTCCCCAGTGAGAGAAGTGAAGGGAGTGGGGAGCTGCACACTCCAACCCCTGCAGTCTGGCGCAGTGGGCAAGCTGCCAGAACTGGCCAGTCTGAAATAGTGTAGTGCCTAAATCATTGCACCTCGCCGTGAGTTCTTTTACAGAGTTCCTATTTTTGGTGATTCTCATTAGACACTGGATTAGTTTGTTCTCACTTGGACATGCTCAACCTACACGGCATATTTATTTTAGAGTTTCGTTGAAAGTTCATGAAGCTTTCTAGTTGATGGTGTACCCCAAGGGTGCTTTTACTCTCTGTAGTTTATTCTCTTCTTGAGGAATAAACTCTCCCACCGCCTGTTTTTCTGCACTGCGTAAGGAAATTAAATAAAATGTTATTTAAGTATACAACTAAAATAGTGTTCAAGCTATGACATGTCCTGAAACTGGATATTTAATTAACATTTAAGCCAACTAATCCCTTTTCCCCACCTTACCTTGGTAGTAAACACCTTGTGCATCCCTACTGAAGCCAGTTGTGGGACGGGCGGGCACCTGCTCATCCAGTGAACTCACTGAGGCATTTAAATATTGGACGTGGGATTCTAGCACTGGAATGTTTGGTGACATTATTTTCATGATTGCCAAGACAATGAGAGTTTGCTGAGGCGAAAACAAGAACCTTTATGGGTTTTGAGTTGGCTATTCCAGCTTATATTTTGAGTATGATTAAGCCAGAGCAGAACACTATCCCCCCCAAAATAAATAAATACATTTAAAGCCACAACAAAGAGGCAGTAAATAAAAGTCCTGTATTGCTGATTTGGGGCAGTGAAAGTTTCTAGCGCCTGCCTTTTGTACTTACGTGCTCACTCTGATCTCCTGGTAGATGGAAACCTGAAACCCCTCCTCTTCTCACTTCCGCCCGCTGCTCTTACCCCTCTCTGCCACTCCACATCCCTGTGAGCTTACCCCTCCCCTGCTTTGTCGTCTTGTTCTCACCGAAATATTGCCCCACGGTGTCTGTTCATCACCCTTCCATTCTTCTAGCCTATGAGATTTCATAATGGGTTCGATGATAGTGCCAGGAACTGGCTCCCCTGGGGCAACTCATTACCTTTGTCCTTTTTGTTTGGATTTTAAATACCAAGTTATTTTGCATTGAATGGGAACATTTCTTTTGCATTGAAACCAAACATAGTTGTACTGGTTTGGAAAGACATTTAATTATACTTACTAATATGAATGTGAGTATTAAATAAACCTATTTTGCATATTTGTATAATTTTGAGGAACCAGTGGTAGGACAAAGTGGCATTATTTAAAATTCAGGGCTTTATCTGGAGGGAGATATTTCAAGAAATTTAGCATATGTGCTAAGGAAAGAGTTGATCTAAAAAAACCGAGTCACTGAAAACTGTGAGATTGGCCTGTTTACCTCAGAAGTAGTTACGAAGTTTAAGAAAATGGTGTAGGTAATTAGTATTTGAAACCCATAAGATATAAAGCAGAATCAACCTATAATTTTCTAAAATCACTACAATTTCTGTTTCTGAGAAGCTGGAAAGTAATGTACCTGAATTGTTTTAGGAATGATTTGTGTGTGGCAATTTTAATTTATGTATTTAAAGCATGTCTCACTGTGTTTGTCCTAAGAGAAATGTTTCAACCAAATGTGCTGTGTGTTAATGTTTAAGCAGTAGATAGTGGCTCTGGAAGTAAAAACTGGAAATGTTTATTGTGTGCTCCATCGCATCATTTCTGCTTTGTGGGATACTATATTCATGTCAGCCTAGAACTGTAAGTTCTCTGCAGATCACCCCATTCAAAGCAGGTGCCATTATTTTTTTAAAATAAACACTTGATGTTAGCTTTGATGTTAAATAAAGAGCTAGATTTCTTAAAATTTCCCATTTGTCGGAGTCAGTATCAACAGCAGTTTGTGTGTGTGTATGTCACTGATTTTTTAAACAGACTTTATTTCAAGCAAACTTGATGGGAAGGTACAGAGATTTCCCATATACCCCATCCCCACACGTGCACAGCCTCCCTGCTGCCAATGACCCCACCGGAGGGTACCCTTGACACAATTAATGAACCTGCATTTACACTTCAGTATCTCCCAAAGCCCATAGCTTACATTGTGGTTCACTCTCACACCTTCTCCGACTTAGTATTCATTATTACAATATCTGATGGAATAGTTTCACATCTAAAAATCCTGTGTTCTGCCTATTTATTCCTCCTTCCCTCATCCCTTATAATCAATTATAAGCTAATTCCAAGTGTGTTTCATAAAAAGTTGGTGCGTGATAGGCAGCCCATTACTCAAGCCCTAGGGGAGAGGGAGTTACTTTCCAATAGGTATGACCACTGAGGTGGAGGAGTTTATAGGACACAGAAGGACCATGGGGATACCAAACAGCACCTTTCTGGCCTTTCACAGATGTGGGATGACAGCTAACAACATTCTTTGAGCATTTACTATACATAATGCTCAGTGCTCGATGCTTTGCATATAATATCCAATGTAATTGTTCCAACACTCAGTAAGACAGGCACTATTGCCCCTGCTTAACACTTGAGAAAGCTGAAGTTAAATAACTCACAGCGTCGTGCAGCAGATATCTGTGGAGCTGTTACTACAGCCCCAACCTGGTGTGACTCTGGAACCTGCACTGGGAACCAGCGAAGGATGTTGAGTGATTGGCTCTAGTCCTTCCGTAGCTCTCAGCTCCTGTGAGGCAGATGACTCTTGGAGCCTCATAAGGGGCCACTTTCAGCCCTAGGACTAGATCAGTCAGTACCGTTCATTGCACACTGTGCGTTTATCCCTTCACGCCGCGTACTGTGATAAGGATGGTTACCTGAAGCCAACATCCTAGGTCTTTGAAGAGGCATAGGCTGACAGATCTGTGGATGAAGGGAATGGAAAGCTGTTAATTAAAGCAACTTTTACACCCTCCCTGGATTCCTGAGTTCAGGGGTGTATAACTGGCAGTTGGCCTGGCTGAGTGAATAAGCTTTTTCACTTAGCTCTGAGATGGTGAAATCCCTGGTGGCTTCTGCTCTGTGCTCCATGACATCTGCTACCATCTGTGGTGGCCACCTCTGAAATTTCTGTCCTCGTTAAGCCAGCCACAGTTTCTCCCTTGCCAGGCCTTGAACTTGAGTAAAGCAGTTAACAGAAATGAGCGACAGCTATGTTAACAGCTGTTTTGTTGGTGGTTACTCAACTCTAGCCAGGCATTGGGAATTGAATTTATTTTTTGTTCTTCTTAAAAATAAGCTACTGAGAATAGTCCCAACTCAGAGATACTGTGGACTTGATTCCAGACCACGGCAATCAAGCAACTCACAATCTTTTTGCTGGTGGAGGGTCTTGTCCTCAATTTGTAAAAAATTCCCTAGCTGCAAAACAGAGTGAAGCTCAGTAGAGTGAGGTGTGCCTGTTGTTGAAAGAAAGCAAAGTAATGCCTTGGTCTGCACTAAATTGCTAAGGGGCTCCATTTGCCAAAGAATCTCTCTGGATCCCCCTCTGATTCCTGCACTGTTCTCACCACCAGCAGCAGCACTGACAGAGCCTTCCCCGGGGTGTTTCCTCCCAAATGTAGTTTTGCTGGCCATTCATCATACTTCCTCTGTGGTGTGAAGCCCACGCCCTCTAGCTGCAAGGAACAGAGAACTGGAAGACAGAACTCCCCAGCTGAGACCACAGCCAGGCCAAACACAGCCCCTCACACAACGGCTGAAGCCAACACGGGCTGGCCCAACCTGAGAGGTGGTCTCCCCCAGACTCCATGGTCAGACCTCACAAGACGAGTTCCAGCTACACATAGGGTTTCCCCTTGTAGGCAAGAAACAATCCCCTAAGGAAGTCAATGAAAATTTTATATGGAGTTGGAATGGAAGCGGCCCATTCAGTTGTTCAGGTATGTTTCCTCACAAGAAAAGCTGGAAGAGCACGAGGAGGCCGCTCTCTTGGCGAGGTGGCGAGCGTGTGCAGTGTGTCATGGGTCCTCCTGGGACCTGGGGTCCCAACTGGCCAGTGGCAGTGGGTCTTCCAGGCATCTGGTTTGCAGACCTGGTTCATGGTCGCCCTGAGAGCACTCCACTCCACTGGGCTCCTAGCCAAGCTTGTGTGTGTGTAGGGTGCGGGGGTGCCTGGCTTTCTCAGTGGACCTGTCCTCCTGGGGACAGACTGCTTGGCAGCTATTTATATTTGAATGTAAATCAGTACATTTGGTTTTTCTTGTCAGGGACGTTCCTGTCGGAGATGGGTTAGCACGAGGCAGTTTCACAGGAGTGGCCACCTAATAAACTGCTCACATAGATCCTGAGTTGTTGTAGGATGTGGGAAGCCCAAGTTGAATCTGGGGGGCTTTTCTCTCACCCACAATCTGATTAACCTGAGGAAATGTTTCACCTCTCAGAATCTCCGTTTTCTGAACTGTTCAATGCCTGGGGTTGTCAAGTTTAGGTAAAGTGCTTGGAACAGGGCCTTCACGTAGTGTGCTTACTGAGCACTTACTATGTGTCAGGCCCTGTTCTAAACACAGATGGGAAACAATGCTCCTGTTCCTGTGGGGGTTATGCCTTAGTGGAAGGAGACAGATGATAACAAAAATACAATATTTGGCAATGGTAAGGGCCATGCTCTGAGCAATTAAGCTAAAATTAAGATTCCCTCAGTGTTCTTAGTGAGGAGATGACCTTACTGCGTGTCGTTTTCTCAGCTCATTTTCACAGCCAGCCTTGTGGGCATGGCTGAGGAGAGCCCTCTAAAGTGGAACTATTTCTTGGTCGGAGAGACTCAGCACAAGAGCAGGGGCACTCAGAAGACCTGGGTGGTTCTTTTTGACAAAGGTGGTTTCCTTGGGAAACGGGAGGAGGTGCTTCTGGTTTTGGCCTGCACTACATGCAAATGAGCACCTGGGGCTGAGTCAGCAGTGAGTAACCCCACTACCCGCTCCACCCCCCCCACCCCACAGGATTCCGAGTCCTGTACATGCTGCCTCCACCCGCCTGCCCCTCCCAGTCCCTGAAGAGCTTCTGTCTCACAGGCAGCCTCTGACCCTTGGCCCTTACTGCGCCACCCTGTCCTGTCACAACCTTGAGCCAGGCTAAGTGCCCCGTGCACTTGCACCCAGGCTCCTGGCCCAGCCAAGGAGGCTCCCTGTGCCTTCCTGCTCTGAGGGCCAAGGGAACAAACACTCCCTTCTCCTGGAGCTCCCTTCCCCAGTAGCTCTCAGGGTCTCCTCCACCTGGGCCTGGGACCCCTCCTCTTCAGGCCTGAACTCTCACCTGCTCCCTCCTCTTCCCCTTCTTCTCTCCTCTCCAACGCCCTGTCCAAGCCAGACCCTCCCACCTATGCCCACTTTCTCCCTGCACCACCTCTTCCGAGAGCTTGCCTCTCCGTCATCAAGTCCTGTGGCATCCATGCCTGCTTTTCTGTGGGTTCACGTCAGCCTACACAACCGTCCACACCGCAGATGTCCTAAACCCTCTTGTTTTGATCCTGCCTCTCCTCAACTCCCTGCTCCTCTTCCCCTTTACCACCATGTTTCATAAAGGCAGTCTCCACTTCCCTCTCCCAGGACTTCTTAATCCACTGGATCCTAGTATCAGCCCCGACACTCACCTGAAACTCCTCCCACTGGGGTCACCAATGACACATTGGCTTCTCCACTGCATAGTCCCTAGTCTAGATCACCAGTCTGTGTCACTCGCCATGGAGATGCTCACAGCAGCCTGAAGCATTTTGCTCCCATTGGGTGTTCCTCACCACCACCCTTCTGTCTCCTGCAGCCCCTCGTCTTTTTGCACTGTCTCCATCTCATCCCCCTTCTACAGAGTTTCCATGACCCAGCCATCCTCTGTATGACTGGTAATCACCATCTCTGTGCAGTGAGCACCTGCCTCTTTTTTCACCCACAGGCCCATATTTCCAGTTATTTACCTAGCATCCCTACATACATCCTTAGGGCACCTCAAAATAGAAAGTCGAGCTCATCATGTGGCCCTTGCATCAGATCTGCTCTTTCTGTGCTACCTAATTCCATTGAAGGCCCCACCACCACCCACTCATCCATCCAACTAGAAACCTCAGCGACACCCTCCTCTTCCTCGCCAGCACCAGTAAGTCATGTCAGTTCTACTTTCTAAATGAGCCCTAAATTGTCCACTTTACTCTATTTTACTGGCCACAGTGTGGTTCAGGACACCACGATTTCTTCCAGGGCAATTGTAAGAGCCTCTTAGAAGGTCCCCCCAGTCTCTAGTTTTGTCTCCTCCTGCTCCATCCTCTCTGTGACTGGTGGCTGCTGCGATCTTTCTAAAATGTAAATCAGCTCACCGTGTTCCGCTGCTCACCCCTCAGGGTTTCCCACTGCCCACAGGGTCAAGTCTGAAATTCTGAGTGAAGCCAGCAAGGCCGTGATGTTCTGGAGCCAGCCTGGCTCCCCAGCCTCGCCCCACCCTCCAACCCCCCATTCCCTACATCTGGCCCTGAACCCACTGTTCTTTTCATGCCCTTGGGCTATGCGTTTGTGCTTCCCCTCTGCCTATAATCTAATTTCTTCTCCTCCTTACCATTCTTCAAGAGCCTCGTACCTGTTGGCTCTTTGAAGCCTTGTGGTGAGGTATGTTGTGCCTCCTTCTCCTCATCAAACTTTCCATTTATTTACTTATATCGGCATGGAGTCATAGCTTCCTATCTAATTCAAAGGGTTATGTTCTTTTCCTCCCTCTGTTTTCTGTAAAGGGGGTCTCTGTTATAATCCCTTCACCCCTGTGATTGTCTCCTCTAGTAGACAGTGAGTTCCTTGTGGTCGAAGCCACCTCCTACTCATCCGGTTCTCCCTCAGGGCCTCCCTGGGTGCTGGGCACACAGGTCACATTCAACAG